GCAAATACAGCAGAACAGAAATGAACCGGCAACTAAGTCGATCAACCAACGCAGTAGCTATCGTCCGCAAGCAGCAAGGGAGTCACCAAGGACGGAGACGGTGAACATGATTAATATCCTCCACCGCTGCACCACAAACAGAACAGCTGCTATCAGAAGAAAACTGACGCCGAGACCTCTCCTCATTAGTCGTAACTATCAATAAAGCTACTTTGATGCGGATTAATTAGCTAAATAATCATATAATTGCGATGTAAGAAATAATTGATTAGGACTTAGGAGAATCGAATACAAGTCCTCAATTATTAAATAATCATCCTCATTAGCAAAAGCTATTCTTTCTCATAAACAAATAAGAATAAAAATATTTTTTTACTGAAAAAATAACAATCTTTATTGAAATATCCCCAAAAGAATTACATGTAAAGATTCCTAAATCAAAAACACCAATCAATGATAATACAGAAAATCAGCGGCTATAGAAAACCAGCGGCCGTGGCACGACCAGCATGGTGCAACAAATTGTGAGCGATGTGATTTCTGGCTTGTGCGGCAGCCATGGACCTTATGTTATTTTCCGGAACCACCTCATCGTCGAAAAGCTCGAATCTGAGCTCGGGATCCATCGTCTCGTTCCTCATCTCGCATATATTATGCAAAACGCAGCAAGCACCGAGCACGATAGGCAACTCTTGAAGCTTCACCTCGGTTCTCTTTTGCAAGCACGACCATCGTGCTTTTAGCCTCGCGAATGCATCCTTGGCCACCTTTTCGATTTCCCCGATCTTCTCGTTGAAGGCGTGTTGAGCCCAGGTGAGATTTTGGTGACTGTATGGGACCAAAACCCAGTCCATTAATGGGTACCCTTTGTTCCCCGCCACCCAAACGTCCTTCAATTGCCCCCTGGTGGCTCTTTGGCAGAATGCTGATTTCTCTAGAACTTGGTCATCGGACATCGAACCGGGCCAGCCGATGCACACGTCGGTGAAAGCTCCGGTTTGATCGACGACGCCTTGGAGGGTGATTGAGTACGAAGATTTTTGGTTCCTCTCCGTGTGTTTTTTGTTGAAGTACGCCGCGACGTTTCCTTTCGGTGCAATGATGGGGACGTGTGTCGTGTACATTGAGCCGCCGACGTTTGGGATTCCGATGGCGGATTCGAATTCTTGTTTGATTCTCTTAATCTTGTTTTCGTCGGGCCATTGAACGAATTTCGGCATCAAAACGGTTTTTATGGCGGCGCAGACCTCCAAGACCAGCTTATGACAAGTCGAGATCCCCAACCCGAACCGTTTCGATACCATCCGGAGCGGTTCTCCGGTGGCTAGACGCCAGATGCAAACCGCCACGCGCTGACGAACCGGGATCGCATCGCGGAGCATCGTGTTCTTTTTCATCACCGCCGGTTCGAGCTCCTCGCAGACCATGTTGAACGTGGCTTTGCTCATCCGAAACGCTCGTTTAAACTCCTCGTCGGGGAAATCCGGGTGGTTACACTTATCCCACCAGTCCTTCGATCGATCTTTCACCCATAACCGCCTTTGCTGGCCGGATCCGGTACCCGATTGCGACGGACTCACATTGCCCGACCCGATCGAAACCATATTCCCCGTCGCAGCAACGGCCGCTAAACCCGAATTACGCGGCCGTTTGTTTCTGGAATCATCCGCCTGGTTCATTTCAGAGCATCGGTTCTCGAATTGATCAAAAAACCCATTCATTTCTACAACTCTTTCATCAAAACTCCGATCGAAGAAAGCTGTTTGTTGATCGGAATCAGCAAACCATTGAATCTGCTGTTCTTGCTCCTGCTCTTGCTTCGCTTCCTCGCCCAACATCAAAATGGAAGAAAGTATATCACCAAACCCACTCTTCTCATTGACTACAGATTCATCAAAATCCCTTCTACTCCTCTTCTTGCCGTAGTTCCCGTTGAACCCGCTTTCCATATCCAGAAACCACGAGAAATCGCTGCTGCCGTTATTGTTGAAATTAAAGCATGAATCTTCTGGAGAAAGCAATGTGAAAGACCCGATTTCCATGTAAGCAAACTCAAGATTTAGGTTTTCTTTTGACCGAACTTGAATTGAATTGACCAAAAGTGAAAAGCAATAGATTTGAAAGCTGTGAAACCGGAGATGTGAAACGGAGGGCACTGAGTTTTCTTTATATACGTATCAGGGGACACGGTTAGAGGGAAAGGGGAAGCGCGTGGAGGAGGAAACGTGTGAACGCGGTGGCCTTTGACGTTGATTTGACTTTCTTTTGTTTATGTGCAGTTTATCTTATTTCATTAAAAAAATTAATCCTACTCGGTATAGTGATTACACGTTTGGGAATAAGGAAAGTTGTACCGAAGGTTCGTTCAAACGGAAAGGGAGAGTAGGGAGTAGGAAGGCAAAGCGAAGTAACTTAAAAGGGCAAAGCATAAGGATAAGGTTATCCTTATACCTTGCTTGAGTGAGAAAGGAACTACATGTCCTACATATCTATAAAAGGGTACTAGTGGACCCTCTAGTCTATATGAAGCTTGAAAGGTTCAACCTCAACCTTTCATTGATCATTATTTTAATATAATTTAAATAATTAGAATTTAAATAAATCTTTTCATTTTAGTTTTATCTAAAATATAAATGATATTTAAGTTTAGTGACTAAAATAAAATGAAACCTACGTTCGGTGACTTGTTTGCAATTTTTTATGAACTGTTTTTCAGCTAAGAAATGTTTTTCAATACATACTTCGTAGTTTAATTTTCATATTAGACAGATAGGTAAATATTTTAATTAATTGAAAAATTAATATGCATAATACTTTGCATATAAAATTAAAAATATAACAATCAAACTACATCATCGGCTTGTGAGTTTACAGTTGGCTTCTGTGATATGTTATCATTTTTCTTCGAGGCAAAAGCTTTGAATTTATATTTTACTATTATGGTGAAGTTGACAATACACTTAATATTGAGTTTTGACCAAGAAGGTTGATTTTATTTAAATTTTATGGGTTTAATTTAATTTATTTTATAGAATTATTTTTAAAATTAAGTTTAAATAAGATCGAGTTTTTCGAACGACGAGATCTGATCGAATTCGAGTTTAAGATGATTTTTTTAATCCGATATAATAGTATAATTATTCTCTATATTTTTAGGTATAATTGTTATAATGACCCTCTATATTTTTCAACTGTCTCTAGGGATAGGCATGAGATCCGAACCCGACGGGTTCCGACCCGAGCCGACCGGGTCGATTTTTTTTATTCGGGTTTGGGTCAAGTTTTTTATAAGGTTGTGTTCGGGTCGAGTTGGATTCGGGTTTAGAGTAAAAAATATCCGACTTGACCCGAAAAAATAATGTTACCTTATTTATTTAGTAATAATTACAATAATAGTCTTCTATATATTATTTTTTCCAATTAAACAATTGTTTTTATTAAATACAAAATAATATTTTTATTATTATTTTAGGTCAGGTCGGGTTCGGATTTTATTTCAAAAAATCGAGTTGGGTGGAGGGTATATATTATGCGGGTTTGGTCGGATTTCGGGTGGAAGAGTCATTGTACTCGGATCGGGTCGGGTGAACCAAAAATCTGACCTATGCACATCCCTAACTGTCTCCCTATTTTATTGAATAAAAATATGTTTTCTTAATATATTTATACATGTCAAATCAAATATGGGTTTTAATTATAAATTTTGAATCCATAAGATTCTCGTTAAACACAAATCAAATCAAGTAGGACAAAGAGATATAATACTCTAGTCGGATTTAGATCGACCAAAAATCTGATTTAACTCGACCACTAATCATATTTAATTTTGACGACACAATTAAAAGTATTTTTAAATCTTAAAATATTCGAACCCAATGTCTTACTTAAACGATAATTTTTTTAGTCTTTCAATTGTTGCATCTCATAACTACTAGTACTAGGTTAAGTGGAACATCCTTGTACTAACTACCATACTTGTCATGTTCCAATCCAACTAGTCACATGAAAATCAAGAAGATTAGATCACTCTTATAATTATTGTTATGTGATTAATAAATTATGATTCTTATTCAGTTCAACAAAATATATTTAATTGTATGACCAACATGAAAAACACATGATTATTATTAGTGATTAATTTTGTTGTAAGTAAATTATTATGACTTTGGATTCGTTACTCGTTTTCAACGAACATGGCACTTTGACTTCCCACAAGAAGAGAAGCACTCGTTACGGGGAAATTATTCCATATAAAAAAACATATTCGATATTAAATTTAAAAAGGGTAAAGTATACAAAAGGTTAACTATTATATGGTATTGTTTTATTAAGTCTCTCGATTATTAAAATTTATAAAACAACCCTCTAGCTATAGAATGTTATTTTATTAAGTCACTCGACTATTAAAATTTAGAAAATGGTCACCTGACTATCCGTTGTGTTCCAAATCATCCTTTTTTCGTTAAAAAAATTATGGATGTATAAGTCGAATGTTAACATGATGACTAAGATATGATAGTCGTTTGAGATTCTGATATCAGATTTTATCATATCACAATTAGAAGGTTAACATTAAGCTCATAATATCTTCAGTTTTTAACAGAAAAAGACGAGTTTTGAACATAATGAATAGTTTGATGACCATTTTGTAACTTTTAATAGTCGAGGAGCTCAACAAATTAATACTCAACAGTCAAAGCATCATTTTGTAACTTTTAATAGTTAAGAGTCTTAATAAAGTAGTACTCTATAATTGGGGACTATTTGTGTACTTAACCCTTAAATTTAAAAAAATACAAAATTTTAAATAGGTAAAAAATGGTTAAAAACATAATTTTATGCTAAAAGATGATAATCAAATGCCCAATTGCTAAAGTTATTTACACAATTCACCTAATTGTTTTGTTTATTGCAGAATTACCCCGATTCTCAACTAGTGGATGAGATTTATGTTCATTTCCGAAGATCTGAGCCATGGATTAATGAACGGTTTGAATTTGCAGAGGGTTCAAAAAAGGCACAAAAATAATAAAGGGAAAGGATTGACGAAACAGAGTGAAGCTTAGCCATGGCGTCTCTGCTCAGTCCCTCTGCAGCAATTTCTCTTCAATACAAGGTAAACTTCATTAGCTATCAAGAATATTCGCACTGTAATTAAACTGAAGTTCTTCTGTCGGTTAAATGATTTATAGTTGATTAAGATTTGGTCGAGAATTATGTTGATAGCTGATTTTGAATATTTTTTACCATAAAATGTCTGGTTTTCTTTAAAACTGGGATTTATTATTCGATTCGAATATAAAAACTTGTTCTTAGATTAGGGGATCTGAAATTCGAATCCTATAATCTTGAATTACGCACAAATTGAGCTGAAAGTTGAGTTCGATGTTTTTAATGCCCTTCTCCTTTTATTTATTTCTGTTTTCTGGTTGACAGCTGAACCGTTCAATTGCAAGTGCCCTATCTGCACATACTCCATCCAAAGTTTCCCATGCTTTTACCGGAGATGGGAGATGTCGAAGGCTGAGTTTCAAGACAAAAGCTGCAGGTCCCGTTGAAGGAAATGTACTCGACAAAGAATCAGCTAGTACCAATGACAAGATAGGTAGCTTGTTCTGCTCTTATTCAGTGTGGTGTTGTTAGGTTGCAATATATTTTCCTGTCTTGGAAGCCATGGTTGTGTTAGTTATTCAGAGCTAAAGAGAATGAAATGGGGATCAATTCTAACCCTGTCATGGCTCATCTGGCTTTTCGAGCATATTCGAACTTTTCGATTTTAAAAAAATAAAAAAAAGTTCTTGTTTTTTGGGTCTTTTTTTTCTGTTGAGAATTGATATTTCCACATTTCATGCTTTTCCAATTTTGAGTGAAATTACATTAAAGCATCTTCATTGACGTAGATTATGGAGTTGTTGGTATGCACCATGTCGGGATTCTGTGTGAAAACCTTGAAAGATCACTTGAATTTTATCAGAATATTTTAGGTATGTATTCCATTTTCTACACTGATAGTAGATATTTATTTGTTTTTTTCCTATGAAAGAAGAGTTAGAAATTGAACATCTGCTTCTAAATGTACAGGTCTTGAAATAAATGAGGCTAGGCCTCATGATAAGCTTCCATATAGGGGTGCTTGGTTGTGGGTAGGTTCTGAGATGATTCATTTGATGGAACTTCCGAATCCAGACCCCTTAACTGGAAGACCCGAACATGGAGGCCGTGACCGTCATGCTTGTATTTCAATTCGAGATGTATCTATGTTGCAAGCAATCCTTGACAAAGCTGGTAAGCTTATTCCAGGGTCATCCATGACGAGCAATATCTCATTGCATGTTAATTTGCATTGTATCTTTTAGTTTCTAGCTTTCTAATGGCAGATTTCTCATGTAGCTCTGTAAGTTACAAACAGGAGGAGGATATCTTATTCTGATATTGTTACATATTGCAGGTATTCCCTACACTCTTAGCCGATCCGGGAGGCCGGCAATTTTTACACGAGATCCAGATGCAAATGCTCTAGAATTCACACAAGTTTGACGCCTTAGATGTTTTAGCATTCAAAACTGGATTTCTTCAAAGATAATATCCCAGGTCCCTTTTTCTCTCTGGATACAGATCATGTATATAATAATAGAAAATGCCAAGGATTTATATTCTGAATTATATTGTAAGACAGCTTAATAAATAGAAAAATCTTTATAATAGAGTTTGTCTTCTTTCATGCATACTAAAAAGTGATGTGCAAAATCACATTTTATGTGCAAATCTAGTTGTAGACATCATCCTGTGCCCTCATTTTTTCTATCTATTCCTATTTGATTTCTTCGGTTGCGGTGGATAGATGGATGGTTGGTTCTTTTTCATCTTGGAACAATGTCTTGTAACTTCCTCGAAAACGAACCATGGCATGCAACCTGCTTAATATAACGTACTGGATAATGTCACATGTACCTTCCAGTCATATATGGCAGAGCGTAGCGTGTGAATTGGAGTTGATACGGAATTCTGAAGCCGATGCTATGTAACTGGTGTTATGTTGTGTTTCTCAAGCCATGCCTCTTGCTCTTGTGCTAATACTTAAAGATGTGATGGATGTCCCTCACATTGCTCCCGATGGTTTTACATATACAGGATCGTGCTTAAGCCGAGAATCAGTTCTGCTGACAGTTTTCAACCTGAAGGAATGAACAGAAGTGTGTCGGAGAATATGCATTGTTCTTTCCAACTTTAAACTTGCATTTGCAACATCGGCAAGTCTTTCGAGTATCGGTAGAACCCGTGTGTCAAGATCAGATATTTCCCTGCATCTAAGCTTTGAACGTTTCAGTGCTATTCGAGCTAATTTTTCTGTCTGAGCACACTTCAGGACAGTATTAGGTGTCACATGACCCTTCAGCTTCCTATACTACACATCGCTGAAGATTATTCCATAGCCACTATTTAGCTTAATTATGATCTAAAAAAACTAGCTCAACAATATTTCCTGTACAAAAACAATTTTAGTGTTGCATGGAGCTGGGATAGAGGTGATTGCCGGAATGACGTGGACTAATACGAAACGGCCAGCTTTCAAATTCTCTGCCGCCCATCAAACGGCGCATCTACTACCGTTTCCTCCCTTGAAGGCAATCGCAATGGTGGTCTTCTTCGGCGGAGAACCACCGTGCTGGAAGTAGGCGTGCTCATGTCCTTCCGTTCAAATTTAGTTCGCGATTTTGCGCTTCTAAAAATCTGTTGCAGGTAGCGTTGACCAGGGTTTTAAATAGTGTTTACGGTCACGTTTTAGGTCGCGTCGCGTTTATCGCGGTTGCGGACATAATGGATGCCATCGCGTTCACTGCGGGTGTCGCGGTCGTGAATTTTTTTAAATTTTGCACAACTTATCTTAAAACACAATAAAAATAATTATAATTATAAGGAACCATTTTTAAAGATTTTTAAAATATTTTCTAAGCGAAATTGACCTATATATAATATAGTTTAACCAAATAGAAGATTTTAAAAATCTGATGATAAGATAAGATAATTAATTAATTATGATATATTATTTTTAATATTTTTATGTTTTTTTTTCAGTTTGGTCTGAATATATAAATTTAACAGGGAAAATTTTCAACTTTAATATTATTGTGTGTCCGATTTAAGAACTCTAAACTCCAATCTATAACATTTAAACTCTAAAATATATACCTTAAATTCTAAAATGCTAACTCATAAATCTTAAATAAAATATATGACAATATTAGAAGTTTAGAATGTTTAGAACCTAGATTGTAAAACAAATTTTCATTAGTGGTGCATGAAATATTTTTTCTATTTTCCTTTTTTTAATAATATAACTCATTTGGCCGAGAAGTTTCTCAGCTCTTCCCAGTTCCCACTTCTCTCAAACCCATATTCTTCGTTTCTTCCCATCCCCATTCCCCAATTCAAATTTTTTCAGTTTTCACCCACAATTTCACTCTTCCATGTTCGAAACTCTAAATCTCCCTAGTGAAGATTGCATCTTCTATACGATTCGAAACCCCATTTCACTCTTTTTTGTTTTTCTATACGGTTGAATGGTTGATTGCAGTGAATCAACCACGATTGAATAACGGTGATTGTGTCCCGTTATTGGCACAATAGTCTGTTTTCCGTTAAATTGTTGGCGCATTCGATCGCAATCGGTGTGAATCCGTGACCCACCGCAAAAATCATGAGTTGTGATTTCGGACGGTGGCACGACCGCAATATCGCGGCCGCTATTGCGTTTTCGGAACGCTATTTGATACTCTGACGTTCACGACAGGCCATTTCAACTTTATATCTACTATTCTTTGTCAGTATTAAAATTGTCTTTTATTTATAATTTTTTTAATAAAAGTTATGGATTAACATGATACAGGAAGAGGAGACACTATGTCTATTAAATAATGTTTAAGATTTAAATTTTAATGTTGTGAATGAAATAAGTTGAATTACGAGACTACTCTTACAACAAATTTCTACAATAGTTAAATTGTAGAATAAATTTTACATGTAGTATTTAAACTATCAGTTTTGATCCGTTTTAGTATTTAAACTTTCAATTTTTCCAAAACTATACCTAAAGTTTAGTTTTTGTTTCATATTAATACCCGTCGTAAAAAACTTTAGTTTTTGTTTCATTTTGATATTTCGTTCAAAATTTAACGCTAAGTTTTGAAAAATTGAAAGTTTAAATACTAAAAAGGACATTTAGGTACTAAACGTGCGAAGTTTTTAACGGCGGCGTACTAAAATGAAATGAAAACTAATTGTTAGATATGATTTTGAAAAAATTAAAAGTTTAAGTACGAAAATAGACTAAAATTGATAATTTAACTACTAAATGCGTAGTTTACCCTAAATTGTATTAGACGACGAATAAATTAGACGCCAAATGATTATAATGACTGGTCTGTAAATTTCTCTCTCGGAAATGTGCAACCCATCTTGAAACTTCACATATTGGTTAGTCAAAAAAATATTGGAAGCCTGCAACCTACCTTATCGAACTTCAAAGTCCAAGCAGATACTTTACCATGAACTACAGGTTGATGTGTATCAAGTACGTCTTTGAAAGATTTTGATATATATATATATATATAAACAAGTTGATGATGCACTTAAAAACAACAAAAAACGATAAGTACAATATAGGGAAGGGAGTGAAAGAGGTACGTGACAGAAGAGAGCAAGCACATAAAGCTTCAAGCATGAATCTCTCATGCTAGACACAACTCTGTGTGCTCCCTCTCTTCTGTCACCTTCCTTCCCTCACAATTACCAACCTGCCTTTTTCTTTATATATGTATGTATGTATCTATTTGCAGCACGACGGCTCTAGTCAACTAGATTACCTCGCCTTATCGATCGGAATGGCCAGTTATCACCACGGTTTTGCTCGAGCTTCATCCTAAACAAAAGCTGCAAGTTTAGTATGTTGCAGGATCTGAGAAATCTTTGTTCCTTCTGAGTGAAAATAAATATTGATGAGAGGTTGTAGGCCATTTATAGAAGGTGAAAACAACCACCAAGTGGTGGTGATGTACGAGATGACATCACGTGTATGAGGTAATAGAGATTTATTAAGTGTTTAAATCTAAATTTTTTTGAAACGAAGACTCGTTTAATCTTCCCAACCGATTACCGGAGCCCGGATACGAATACACCCTAATACTAGAACGAAACGTAGGACGATAAGATACTGACTACATTTGTTTCTATTACTAATACGCTCCTTGTGGCAAGGGATGATGGTATGTAAATGTTCAAGCAGAATGCATTCCACTTTTATCGGTAATTACCTCACCAGTAAATGCAAACAATAACATTCTTCCTTTGCTTACTGATCAACGTATTTACTTTATACTATATCAGGATTTTGGATGATCATTGGATGCTTAAAAATGTATACCACAAGTTATAGTATCGTGTTCGAATTCATTATCTTCGATAGGTGCCGATCGAACGAAGACTCGACCGACTGTTTTTATTAATTTTAATGGTTCATTGATTAAGGAATATAATTTGAGTAATGGCTGTCTTTGTTAGACATAAAGAAATCGAGGAAGTATGAAGAAGAAGAATAAAAACCCACCCCTTTACAAAAGGATCAACCAATGTGAGCTTGATAAAAGTCTAAGCTTATCCGAAGATTTGCAATGGCATAAAACAAAAAGTAGCATAAAGTGGACATGCTTTTATGTTAAACAAAATTATGGGTCTTAACCCTTTGCTAATCATTCACATTACGAATACAATGTACCATATTAGTGTTTAAGATTTTCGATTCTTAACATATTATTAAAACACGAACTTCGAACACGTAAGTGCAAGGAGGAGATATCCTTTACTACATTCTTCCTATATTATCTTTCGATAAACATAGAGACATGATGCTCATGAAAGCAATCAAAGCTTGAACATAAAAGCTTTTATCCAAGCATATGCTGATGCTAAAATCTCAAATTTGCTCATATAAACAATGCGTCCCAACACGAGCGATACCGCCTTTTCTTTGTTGTTTGATTCTGTCACAAACTCACAATTGTGTCTCCATTAATGACTCGAATTTACAAACGATCGGGATACGTTTAGAGACGAAGTTAAGATTTTATTAAGGTGTCGGAATGAATTTGTAAATGTTTAGTGGCATAAGTGCAATCTTTTGGACCAAAAAGCTACTGATCTAGTTGTAGCTTGCAGGTGGGTTCAAGTGTTGACATAATGTTCAAGGTTCTAGTCTTATGAAATCCATGAATGGGAGGTGTTGATACTAGGGTTAAGTTAATCCAAATGCTGTGAAAAGCATCTAAAAAGCTACAAAGATTCTTTGGATTTGTGGACTAAAAAGCTAAAAAAATAAAAATTCATGACTAATCACCATATTGAGTGGAAGGGGAACATCTCCTCCCAAGTCTTTTTGAAAGTTCTCTGAATTTGCCCCCTCCCTGTAGTATTTGTTTAATTCAATAATTAACATTGGCATATTCATGGATTAGGTCATGGGGGCCCTTGTGATGCTGTGGGGTTCAAGACATATTACAGATGTCTTTGGGGCATATAAAGTTATAGTTCTTACATGTTTTGCCATTCTTGACATGATAGACTAGAATGTCCCCTTCAAGGATGCAGTATATATGGATCATCATCTAGCCACCTAATATCATCATCATCATCATCATTCATCCCTGTGAGATTCTCTGTCATACATTCAAATTCCTTTTAATCATGATAAATGATTGGGACATACACACACACATATGACCATAACCAGTGAGAGCATTGTAAGAACCGAGAAACAAACCACATGCAAAATC